ACAAAGCACTGTAGAAAGATATAGCATGGCTCACAAGATACTCTTTCCATTCACTTGTTAGGTGAGTAAGTAGAGTTCACACACTTCACACAAGATCAAGACTATGGAGGATGGAAGAAGAACCCAGAATACCCCAGCAGGCAGTCAATTCCATGCACACACACATGGGCACCCTTGCGGCACGACACTTACCTGAGTGGTCGGGCTCCTCTACACTAGTGTCCTATCATCTAGGAGGGTCAACATCTACCCCAAAGTACAACGCCGGATCCCCTGTCGATGTTGAAGATCAAAGTAGCAACTTGCAGTCGGTAGGTGCAGATATGGCTGCCACCCTCAAGCTCGCCTAACTTGAGGGGAGCCCTAAAGTCACTCCTTGTCTTCCTTGAAGTCCAGATTCCAGTTGTAGGTGCCCTTCACTGTCGCCTCTCTCCAATTGCATCACGAAGTCCCACCTTGTGTCTTGCCACCACAAACATGCACTCAGGCTACCTGGCCGGGTCCAATGTCGACCCTACACGGCCGTGCCAGGTGGGAGCAGCTTCCCTTCACCACGCTGCCCCACTTAACCCTAACTTTCAGCCCTAACCCTAAGTGGTTAGCCTTTACCACTTAGGTTAGGGTTATGGCGGCAAAGTCAACTCTCACCAGCAAGTAGAATCCGCTCTGATACCAGTGTTACGATCCTGGTCAATTTCGAAGTATACATTCATCAGAAAGTACAATGCCAATTGCAAAAAGAAATGAATGAACTTGAGAGGAGAGAGAGGGAAAGAAGAAGAAGAAGAAAGAAAGAAAGAAGAAGAAGATGATGTACTCCAGCATGGGCCAATGACAATGCTCTTCTCCTTTGCCAACCAGTGTCCTCCTCCTTATCTCCTCCCCTCTTATTCAAACAAGAAATGACAATAATAATGTTGAATGGCTGAACGAGAATCAATGTCCGAATCCCTCTTCTACCTCAGGCACAACATGAGGTCCACCATAGCCGTCGCCACCCTTCCTCTTCCTCTTCATGTACACCGAGGCTATGGGGGAGTACTGAGGGCTCTACCCTCCTGTCCAAAGGGCAACCCAAAACAGCTATGTCGCTGCCCTCTTGTCCTAGGTCAACACCAGGCAGCTATGCCACCGCCCATTCAGCTGTTATGTACCCGATTGAACTTCCATCCACAACAAATTCACACGTTCCCATACACACATGCAATTACAGAGTAAAAACCGGAGAGAGGATATGCACAGCGGAAGCTCAAAATACACACAGAATTGAAAAAAACAATTTCAATTCTGTAAATCCCCATCCTCCTCCAATCAATCCAAAGTACTTGTTCCAAGAATCACAACCGCGTTTACAACAACCGCGAACAACCAAAATAAGTGTTCAACGAAGTCTGCAGGAGTCTTCTTCTTCCTCCTCGCCACCTCATACCCATGGCTATGGCTGCCGTAGCAGCAGTAACCCCACAGCTGTCACAACCTGCTAGTCTGAACCAGCAACCCCAATAATAGGAGCGCCAGCTCAGCGCCTGCACGGCAGTGCAACGCTGGAAGTCCTGATGAAGAAGGAGACAACCAATCCAGTATTTCAAAGAAGACAAAAACGAAGTTCCTCATGAGGAGGAACAGCAGATATGGCTGCCTAGTGAAGAGAGGCAGCGGCCAAACCCAACAACACAGTCCTGAGGAAGCTCTTGTGCAGAGCTGCTAAATAGCAGCAGTGCAATCTCCAACTTCGTGCCCGAGCCCCAGCTATGGCCCGACTCAAATTTCCCGACTCAAATTTCCTGCCCGCTACTTCTACCCTCTGCCTAGACTTACCACGGACTCCCCAAGCAACAACTCAAGACTCGTCTGTATCTAGATGGAAACAGGGGAAACGGGGACCTAGGCCTATGACAAAGCAAAAGGAAAAGGCCGAATGGCCTAGGACTACGAAACAGAGATTACTAGTACCAGACTCAGGGATGAAGTCCAATACAGCTCAACACTCACAAACAAAACACACAGATTACAGGTCACGGGATCAAGTCCTGCAAGGCTCAAAACCAACAAACAGCAAACAAGCAGGCAGCACAGCAGACAAAGGTTGCGGGATCGAGTCCCGACAACAACGCCAAGGACAAAATTAGTATACAGCCCGCTTATAGCACTGCAATTCATTGCACAGCCGCCATGCCTGACTCTGTCCGAGCTTCCTTGATGCGGCACTACCCCAACTAGGGCCTTCCAGATGCAGCGCCTAACAATGCTGTCCACCATAGCCAGGTAGGTACCTTGCCACTCTCCTACTTGGTCCCCTTCTCCCTCCTCCTCCTACCGGTAGAGCTCCACCATAGCCAAGGTGGAAGCTCCCGGGCTTCTTCCTCCCAGCAGCGCTGTAGTAGCCAGCGCTCCTCCAGCCAGTGCTCCAGCAGCGTGTCGCCAAACTTGCACGCTGAAGAATGAGGCTGGGCTATAGCGGCCTACTTGCCTCCTGGGCGGTGACTTCCAGGCTGCTCGGCCTCCCAAGCAACCGGCACCTCCTCGCTTTTGGAGGGAAACATCATTGCAGACTCTGATGTTGCCCGTACAGGCCCTAGACTCAGACTGGATGGACTGGTACCCACCTAGACCTAGCCTACCGCTACTGGGCCTCTGAAAAATGCCAACTTTGTGTTCTTCTGGTCGGCCTCGAGTACCCGGCACATCTACTTCTACTGGGTGCGGTACCGGCCTACCTGCTACTTGAGTGTTCTAAGTTCCGTGCGCCTCTTGCTCTGCCACTTGAGTGTTTTCCCTGCTGCAAGCTTCAATGTCATGGCCACAGGTAAGTACTGGCCCTATGGGCCTCCCAAACAAACAAGTACCCTTGCGGGTCACACACACACTCATACCCACAAGCACTCAGACAGGCACGGAGGTCATCAAGCAAGCACACACATAGACTTAGAAAACTCAGCAGAATGCGGGAATCTCAGCAAGGCATCCATTCCATCGGCAGAACTCAGAAATCAGCAGTGTTCTCAGTCCGTGTTATGGCGGGTCATTACAATATGTATATATGTATATGTGCAAGTGTGCGGCTCCGGTGGCTGATGGGTGTGTGGGCACTCGGTGCTGAACCACACAAACGTGGCCAACCTTGCATTTTGAAATGATTTTTACTATCTTGCCTCTCTACTTTTTTTGTTTTATGGATGGTTTATAATCATTTGTGGAGGGAATCAGAGAGAGAACCTGGGGGTCCTTTTAAAAACAACACATGCACACACACACACACACGTGGGTTGCATGCATTGTGTCATGAGGATTATTAAGGCACAGGCCGTGCGTCTTTCTATTGTCATACGTGCGATGGTAGTCAATAGTGTCCGGCACCCTGACATGCCATGTCCAATTTGTAGACAGGGGCTTGAACGGCAATGTCTTTGTGGTCGGCGTGCCTCTGTGTTCCTTGCCTGTATGAGCCACGTTGCCTGTGATAGATGTCTAGGCCGTGCCATTTGCTGCAGCAACTGCGAAGGCGAAAATTGGATGTGATGCTTCCACAGTCTGCACGCGAATCGGTGCTGTCTGGTCTGTAGGGGTGGCCACCTACCATGGGCAACGGCTACTCATCAACAAATACCATCCTGCAACCCGAACACTGACTGACCTCTCGTGGCAGTCTAGAGTGGTCTGCTCCAACGGTGTGTATAGAGAACCTAGTGAACACACTCTCTCTCGCTCTATCCTCCCCCCAATTGTGCACTCCCTCCTCCCCCCTATTTTGTACTCAGTAAACACATATGAAAGAGCGTCATTGAGAGAGCAGACAAAATATAAGTAAGTTGGATGTAAAGGCACACGGGGATGTGGGCAGCTGGCTCTCAACCATCATCAACGTGGCCAGCCTTGTACGTGACTGTCACGGTAAGAAGGGCACTGCAAAAACAAAGAAAATGGGAGGCCTCCCAATGCTAGCTGATGTAAACATAATCAAGAAAAACGATGTAATGGATTTTTTGTGTCTCCTGTTTGTTTTACTGTTGGGTTGGCCCATCTCAACTGTGTTGCATTGGTTGTATAAAGGTGAGATTCCTTGCTTGTATACAAAAGGTAAGATTCGTGTGGTTTTGGATACAGATATAGAGTATTATTGACTTTACAAGCAAAACTGTTTCATTGGTGGATTGGCTCATCTTAAGCATGCGTCGTTGTATGCAATAGAGGTAAAGTTGCTATGACTTTGGATCTACTCGTCTGGTTGGAACAGGGGAAGTTGTGGTGAGAATTCATAACACACACACACACACACACACACACACACATATGAAGATCAGAAATGAAATGAACGGAAGTATGAAGATGAAGGACGGACACAAAGGCTGTATAAGCTGAAGATCTGAAGTGAAATGAACAGGAGTATGAAGCTCTGAAGAGATGCACAGGAGCCTCCTGAAATAACGTGCAAGTGGGCCGTGGAGGCACACGGGGATGTGGGCAGCTGCCGCTCAACCACAATCAATGTGGGCAGCCTTGTGCGTAAGAGGCACAGTAAAAGGGGAGCTGCAAGAACAATGAAAGGGGTACCCCAAGGACAACCAAAAAAACTGTCTAATTATAAAATTGCTTTAATAAGTTGGACATCTCAAATGCTCTCGTTGTCTGCAATAGGATAAGGACTGCCTTGATACTGAATCTATTCACCTGGGTGGAATTGGGGCTGTTGTGGGGAAAATCTAAAACACACACACACACACACACACACACACACACACACACACACACA